GCTGTATCGCCGGCTCGCGCGGGTTCGGTCTGTAGACCCCTTAACATTCCATAATTCATTGCAATATTTGTTTTATTGAATGTGATGATGTTTTTATTACCATGATATAATATAAAATATTCATATATTTTTGTGAAAATACTATATCCACTACAAAGATAGAAAATCACAAAGAAAAATTTCCCCGATCTGACTGAACTCGAACCAGCGTCTGTTGCGACCGAGTCCAAAGATCTTATGAATTTTTCTATGTGCTTGTTGCCGATCTTCGTATTGGCTTTAAACAGATTTTATAAAAGTACGGTATAAAATATTTATGGCCTAATTTCGTTTATATAATCTTTAAACCTTTCTCCTGAAAAGTTATGGTATGTGGTGTTCTTACACCAATGGTGCAAACTGTAATATTTGAATCTGTTATGCAAACACCAAACACGCAAAGTAACGTCATAGGTAAACAAAGAAACATCACTTAAACACCGTTCGCGTATTACCTTGTGGTATTTCTCTTTTTACTAAAAACTACACGAATTTCGAACAGTGAATGAAAACGTAAAATTCTCACGAGTAGCAAGTAGCAAGCAAATAATTGTTTGCCTATTACTGACGTCACACACTCTGAGATGTTAATATGTAGTGCAATTTGCGCGGCTATTTTTGTTATTATGTTCAATTATAATTTTAGGGACTGGAAAAACTTTTTTTAACACAATAAATTTTTCTTGAATCTATCTATTCATTATGGTTCATTTTATGGTTCATTATAAGGTTCACTTTTCGTTGTCCGATTCCCTATTTACATTAATGCAAGTCCTAAGATATTGAAATATGTGCTTACAGCGGTTATACGATGACTCAAGAGGGGATCGCAGTTTCTATATACAGCATATATTCCCAATCCACTGATACAGGTGAGCACGCTTAGTATAAGAAGAACAGGCCAACTCCACCACAAACTAGCTTGTGATCGCCTCAGAGTGCTTACTGTTTGCAGACGCTGAACCTGTTATATAAATCAATTTCATTTCATTTTTCGGCTACTGCCCCACTGCAGATTAAGCAAAGGCCTCTTTTATTTCTAATCATCTTATCATATTATTATATTAAATCGATACCTCCACGTAAGCATGTTTTACTTAAGCTAAAATTTAATAATATGCATATTATAGTTTTCGTGTTTATGAAGGTAAATAAAACACAGGTTTCTTTTAGGGTATGTTTACTTTTAAACATGGAACCTATAATATACTTAAAAAGGATATGTTACTGTTTAACTTAAAAAGTAAAAAATGCTATTGTGCGGTTAACAACAACTTATGCGGGAGGTATCGAAATATTCATAGCATCTATGCATGGTGTAACTATCAAAAATAATATTCAACGAAACTAACCTGCGTGTGATTAACCGCATATAAAGATAAGTATGTAACTATCCCTCCAATCATAAGATTCCACCACGTATGCCTTTCTGTAGGGTCTATACTGTAACTAAAAGCATTTGAGTACGTATAAACATCATTCAATTATAGATATGAAATGAAATTTCATTATCATATTATTATTTATACGATATTTTAATATCATTTGTTATTTCCAATAAGTATAAAATATCAGTGCATCATTGAACATAGAGCTTAGATATGGGAGACAGGAGCCCAAACTACATGGGTAAGTCCTGTGCTGTGACACTCCCGGCTCCCGATCTCGGGAATAATACAGTCAGTAAAAATAAATAAGGTTATGTGATAGAAAATGAAATAGAATAAGCGCCCAGTTAAACGACGCGAAAGTTTTGACGCGGCTGCCACGTAGTGACTGCCCAGTTACTGCTCTTTCACGTACATTAATGGCAAATCTGAATTTTATTTGCTATGCAACAACATTTAAATTACTTGGAATAATACAACCGCACGGCCGCCACGTAGACCAAAGAGTAGCCAGCCTCTCATTTAAGTTAAAACGTAAATGCTAAACAAATAGAGCGTATTTTGCTATGACAGTTAAATGCACGCGGTCGCTGCGCGGCGGCCACGTGGCAGCCGCGCGACTTGGGCGCGATGAAATTCGGAAACAGAAGGTAAATAATGTTAGGCAAATACATTATAAATTATTAAAAAATTCAAAATGAACATTCAAAACTATTTAGTAAACATATTTAAAAAGTAGTGCATTATAAATTATTATTGGCGCCTTACTTGGAAAAGTCCAGACGACCACCTTCTTTCGCAATTATAAATATTTGACTAAATCCACCAACTTGTATGGCACTGAACACAACAACACTGAGCAATGCAATTAACATCAGAGCAGACTGTAGCAAATCTGTGAATAAAACCGCTTTCATCCCTCCCATTGTCGAATATAATGTACATACCAGTCCTACAACTAATATAGATATAAGTCTGTTGAACCCAGTAACTGATTCTAAAACGATCGCTGGTGCATACAGCACTACACTATTATAAAGCACCATTTGCAATGTGTAAGTTAGAGATGCCAATAATCTTATACGGGGGCCAAATCTGAGCTCCAAATACTCATAAGTACTAGTTTTTTGAAGTCCGAAAAAGACTGGTAGATACAGTCGACTGGCGATGGGAGTACCGAAACCGTACGCAAAATTAACTAAGACGAACATCATGCCGTAGTTATAATTCTCTGAAGAGACTCCCAATAGTGTTATTGCTGACATGAAAGATGCCATCAGTGATACGGCTACAGGTAGTATTGACATGTTCCGATCAGCGAGAAGATATTCCTGAGGGACAAAAATTTACTGTGAGAGACTATTCCATTTTAATTTTAATTCAGGTACAAAAACACTTATTACCTCGTTGGTTTTCTGTTTACCTCCGCTGAAACGGAAGTATACTCCGATAGCAAGAGACGCGATCATAGTGCCTGCCATTATCACGTAATCCCATGTTCCAAATACTGAAAGAGTCATTTTGTCTGAAAATGTAGAGAACAAGTTATTGCAGGCACTCTCAGCTGAGCCAATAATTATAGTTTAAACGCTGTACATAAAGATGTTATAAGAATTAGAAAGAACCGAAACATTCTCTGCTGCCAAGTCCATTATCATAAAAACTAAATTCTTTCATTTCAACGGTGTTATCGTGTCGTATTGTGCATTGTTTCGTGTCGTGATGAATACAATGTCATTGAAGTCATTTCTCTAATTCCGTAAGATAAACACATGAGTATCGTTTATCTTAAAACACAAAATAATCTCGAGTAGAATCCTGGCAAAAAAAGGTACATAGACATTCGATACAATCACAAGATGAACGAACTCTTATTGGGGCACATTAGGAGTTACCTTGTAAACACTGACCTCTCCAACTGTCAAAACAAAACTCCAATTAGATGGAATAAAAAAGTCACCTTAGTAAGTTATTTGTTGGTAGGTTAACGCTTGTAAACAACAAGTTTTACCCTAGTGGCCGTCATTAAGGAAGCAATAATAACAAATTTTACAAATTTGTCAGACTGATGTTTGCATCGCTGCTAAAGTCGCCGTGTGTAACCGCTCTTAAACGTAGAGATTTTGTCTTCTATGGTATAATATGTATACTATTTATCATGTTATCTTAAACCTAATTAACAAACATCACATTTAATCTGCACTTTATGTGCATCCTCTGACTGATATAACTTGTTTCATGAGATAAATCTTTATTAATTGATTGCAATCAGTTTATCCAGTATTTTCTGAATGGTTCCAGAACGATATTGATACAGGATATTATACTATACTCATACAACTTTTGTTGAAAATAACATCTTGAATTATAACTAGAACTTTACATATGTGGGCTTTATAAGGGGAGTAAATTTGTATATTTCCAGACGTTGTTTTTGAAGTTTATTTTGTTCAAAATGAAAATAACTACAAATAAATTTATACGCTCCTTTGAATAACCCTTCCCTACTGCACAGTTAGCAACTAAATGTCCTACATCGTTCGAAAGTTTTCAAGTATAAAAAAGTAACATTTTTTTTTAATTTGAATATTTTGTCAATTTTAATAATTCTTATATAAGAGTGTAGGTTTGTCTTGTAATATTAATTAATTTTATTCTACTATCCTTATACATAAAGAAAAATATATGAAAAGAAATTAGTTAGAGAAGTTTCATACAGTTTTATATTTTAATTGATTATAATTAAAATTTGACTTTGGTTTCCACAAACTTTCTAACATCAGTAGAAGCACATTATTGGCATTATATCATTATTACAAATTTCCTTACTAATTGAAAAATAATTCTATCAACTGTTTTATAACCTGCTGATATATAAGAATCCTTAATAGGTTGAAACGTTCCTTCACTTCACTTATTCATCAAAATTGACGATTTAAAAGAGAAAGTACCATAAATTAATATACATGCTTAGAAAAAGTTGAAATATTGTTTTCTCCAAGATTAATAAGTAAACACGTGGTGCGCGTGCGCACCCGTCTGTGGCAAACGCGACTTGAGGACTGACCTGCGCACCCTACAGTAATTAAACCCATATCTAAATGTGTATGTTGCATAGAATCTTTTCGATATATCGGTTCATTGTTATTCTTCTACGTTAGAAACGACTTCTGTACTATACCAAGCATTCAAATTTCATCGAACTAATACAATGTCTTGACATTTATTTATTCGATTTATGAAAAGATTTAGTAGCAGTAGAGCTCCTTGCGAAAGAATTCGTCCAAGGAAGTACTGTCACCTTACCTATTTTTGCCGCCAAGTAGTAACGTGAGCATTACTGCGTTCCGATTTTGAAGGATAAGAGTACGTGAAATTACAGGCACAAAGGACTTGTCAACTTATGCCTCAGGCGACGAGCGCAGTGGCAGTGCCGCTCAGACCTTTGCCATTTAAAGCTCTGTAAAACCGATCTATAAGATACCTACTATAATACCCGTATAACACCTTCATTGTTAACTACATTTTTCAGCGAATAATAATTATTATATATTAGATAATTATTATCTTGTATTCTTGTATTTTAGTGGCACTGGGCAGGCGTGTCGCTTACCTCCATGCGCACGACTTGTTTGTCCTATCGCTTATATCATAAAAAAATTGACTAGACGGTGTCCTTGTATGACTATACGCTTACTTTTTAACCGACTTCAAAAAAGAGGGGGTTCTCAATTCGATTGTGTTTTTTTATATGTATGTTACGCGATAAATCCGGTATTTGTAAACCGATTTTCATGATTCTTTTTTGTAGGAAAGAGGGTACCTCCTTAGCGGTCCCATTTAATTTTGAAGAAAATCGTCCACCTCTAGGCGTAGCTGATCACGCATGAAGATTCATTTTTATAAATAGCGCCTAAATTTTATTATAAGGAGAAATTATTTTAATGGTTGATTTTGCTATTCTCCAATTCAAGGCGTTTTTCTCTCAATATACTTTGAGTAGTGAGAACCGATTTTTATTATCTCCTGTGTCAAGTCCCGTACAGTAGCGAACTAGGGGATGAATCCGGGTTTGCGCACTGTCCGGTAACATACTTCAATAAAACTTGGTAATTATATGTAATTCCACGTACTTTTGAGGTCTTTTTTTTAGTACTCTGTACTGCGATTATATACGATCTAAATAGCATTCGATCTTCCCCTACATTAGGTTCCGTCCAAGTCTACAATATTTTTGATGGAAATGTTGGTTTATCATAATTCAATAACAATGAAGTCTCTTCTTAATTTCAGTGTTAGATATTCTGTGAAACGCTCGAAAAAACTATCAGGTTTCTGTATTCTTCTTCATGTTATTTCTGCCGCCAAGCGGTAATGTGAATTGCTGCGTTCCGGTTTTGAAGGTTTAAGGGTGTTGCTGAAATTGAAAGCACATGGGACTTATCAACGTATGTCTTAGTGTCAAGGACGCAGTAGCAGTACCGCTCAGATCTTTGCTTTAATCTTTGATTTAAACTCTTAGTGACACTGCAACTGCTATGAATAGGCGTGTCACTTACAACTTGTTCGTCCCGTCACTTGGTGTCGAATTTATACATTCTAAAGAAAAACTTAATAATATATAGGATAGGTTACCGTGTTATGGATGGTTTGGATGAACCTCAGACATATTTTTGTGATTGTTGTAAAAAGTGATAAAACGGACATCAGGCTTTTGAAACACGCTAACTACAAATAATACAAACACATAAGTACACTTTATTTATTGTATCTGGCCTTTTATTTTTACATATAAACTTTGAATATCACAGTATTTTACTACCATGAAATTCAATTATTTTTGTGAAATTACTCCACTAGTTTGTTATAATTATTAAAACAAATATCGAACACAAAGTCCCTCCGATCCGGCTTGATACTAATTGCGACGTCGCCACTCCGTGATTGACTCTCTCTCAACTCCCAACAAACCAGCAAATCTTACGAATTTCTGCATGCACATGCAGAAATTCGTATCTTAATCTTACGAATTTCTGCATGTGCTTGTTGCAGATTTTTGTTATTTGTGTTCAATCTTTGTATTAATAGTAATAAATATAATCTTATTTAGATAAATAAGTACATAACAAGGATATGTAAATAATAGGTAACAGCACTAACAACACATTAAGGGGATTGTGAAACACTTGTGAAGCACCAGACCACAGTAGATATTTTGAAAAGTATTTGTTATATATCCGCAATTTCCTGGACTCACGCATACTACACGTATGCACTGCAAACACACATTGCAATGAGTGGCGAATAAAGACTCCACAACCCTCATAATGAATATTGTTCCTTAAAAGATTTTTTAAGTTTCAGTTCACATACAAAATAACCACCATTGCGGCTGATTAAATGGATGTTGGTACAGTAATAATTTTAACAACCACTTCCTAAGATTTTACAAATAATTTAATTGTAATCGTTAATGTCATTTTCTTTTCACTACAATAACTCACCACCTACTCGCAATCTTTATTTCGTCTACGTATAACATTTATAAATACATTTACGTAAAACCATCAAAACATCCACCTATATAACCTTCATAGTTTCATAAGCATTATTTTTAATAAATTATTAAATATTTACTTACGGTACCTACTTAATATAACTAAGTATTACACAGTATAAAATGGAAGAACAAATCGCATTGTTATCACAGTCACATAACAATTAACATGTCTAAAAGATTGTAGTTAGCTTAAAATTACACTCTGGTATGTATCTATTTTGGTTTGTATATTTCGCTTTAAATTAAACTACCTAGCCGAATTAAATCATCAAAAATTAAAAAATCGTCACGGAATTTTGCCGTTTCTTAACTTGCATTTATAGGTTTATGTATATGTCAAACAGTACACAATACATACTTTTAGTATATTCGGCGGCAAACAGTGGTGTTTGCTTTCCGATCCAATCTCAATTCTCTTAGATTTTCTATTAATAAAATACTACTAATACCATGTACACACGCCAGCACATCAAGCTACACAATGACGTATCTCGTTCCGTTGCACTGGAGGCGATTTTCGAACAAAAATGTGTAGTCTGATGTGCGGTTGTCCGTACATATAAAATCACAAAATATATTATGAATTCTGTAAATTTGCACCCTTGGGGTAATAAGGCAACATCTGCAAAATGGAAACTTTTCAGAAGAGTGGTTTAAAGATGACTACGGATGAAATTAGTCGTCTGAAATAGAAGAGTTATGAAATTTCACACATACGCAATTTGTTTCATGTAGTTCATATTATTTTTTATGACTTTCATGTGATAAAAACGTTTTTGACGTATGATCTCATGTGACTTTATTATGCCAAAGGTACGAATGATATATTGATGTACTTCCAAAATAAGACAAGACAAGCAACAAAATTGCACTGCGTATCTTATTTCACATAAATATTACCTTGCTATGTTAGGCCTGTCTCTCTGTAAACTTCTATTTTTTGTATAACAAGCCTCGTTCAATACTGTATAGTATTAAATCTTTAATTACATGGTTCAGAACAATCAAAATTGCTTTTCAACGTCAATATTTCGAAGGATACCGTTTTCCATACATACATACATTTCGACAGCTTTCTGCCAGAACATAATCTTTTGAAACTTTTTTAGCACCTGTTTCATACGCGATATCGGTGTCTCTTATCAGGTGCCATACTTATCTCTTTACCTATACTAAAACCCCCGGTTTTCGACAAAACATGTCATATATCGCACATGACAACTATATTTTATCTCAAAAATTGCATTATTTAATTTCAAAGTGACAAGTGAACTGAAAGGACAACACTGTCACTTTGAAATGAAATAGTAATGTGAATGATATGTATGACGTAATTCTTGAGATAATACCATGTTAGTTGTTATGTGCTATATGACAACAATTTATTTTATATTGGCATATAGCGTGTTAACTATCACCGGTGAAAACCAATTTAAGCTTTACACCATGGCCTACCGTAACTGGCGTATAGTTGAACATAAATCTTAAGTGAGACGTGCCGTTATACTTTCTTGCTAAACAGTTACTTACAAACTATAAAGAAATTAGGAATGTAACGGGGTTAATAACGGTGTTACGATTGTAAAATTATTAAGTAAATCACAGCAGCGTTATAGGATGAAATGATAACGATATGTTAACATGTAAGATAACGTGATAAGAACAATAAAATTGTATATTACACCTAATAACGACAGATTAAATCCTTTAAAGTATCTTTTTAACAGTCAGTACTAACAATGTTAATTTATAACGAAAATAAATGCCAAGCACCTACATATTTTTATACTCGTGCATTTTATTTGCGATACTTCTGTTTCATTATATTGTCATTAATTTGCCTAGAATTGTCATAAATAAAAACTGCTTTAAGGTTAATCCCGCAATCCGTTGTGCTTCAGAAGCTCGCGCTGAAAAAAAATAAAAATATTTTAATTTAATTTCAAAGTCGTAAAAACAAGAGGTCAATCATGACTATATATTACACTAAATATTTCTATTATTGTTAAGAAGTCTTTTTGAAGAGATACTAAGTAGATAAAGTAAAATTTGCATCGGTTCTCGGTAGTTAGTAGTTACTTTTGTATATATCTTTACACAACTTTTCCAACCCTACAGGGGTTGGAAAAGTTGGTGAAATAACAGAAATAAAGTGGTAAAGATGGTGAAATAACAGAAATAAGATAAGATTGTAAACGGCGACTCAGTCTGCAACTAGTTTACTTGACCAATAAATCGTGCATCATCATTGGGTTACAGAAAAAAAAACCAAACTTTGTCATGTTTTCATTATTTTAATACGTGCAAGATTCTAACCTAACCTAACAATGTACAAAAAAATTATTATATTTTTTTCTTAAATATACGTGGTCTATTAAACACAATAATGTAATAAAATAAACAGATAAAAACAAAGATAAGCCAAAAAATGTGACCCACAAACCTGTCGTGCGTATGCGCATTATTCTTCCGCAAGCGTAGCGTGCTTTGTGCCAACTGTGTCCATCTAGAAACAAACTAACTACTAAAAGCCAAGCAATACATGCAATCTTTTGCAAACTTCCCAACCTGTATGAACAATTGAAAAGTTGATTGTTTCAGAAAAAGGAGTGCTTTAGTTTTATATGTAAAATATTTTTATCTCGAAATGTATGTATGTTCTATGTGTATGTTCGTAGTACAGTTCCAATCATTCTCTATCAATAAAAAATAATATTGCCGACTCTTCCCCAGTAATGTAAAGACGGCAAATTTTCTGGATTATAGGTATTTTTTAACAAAATATTCAAATTGCAACTTAAAATTGTATTAATAAAATTAAATGGATATGTAATGTGACAGCCTCCGTAGTCGAACGGTTTCCATGCTAGACTGCCACGCAGAGATCCCGTGTTCGATTCCCGGGCCGGAAGAAATATTTTTATGCACTACATTTGTTTCTCTCGCAAGTTTGGGTGCAATTTGTAGTTGTCTATGTGTGTGTCCATGGCACCCGTGTTGTGGGGTTTCCCTAGTGTGGGGCTGTAGAGTGTAATAATTAACGAACATTATTTATTTTATTTATTTATTTAATGTAGTGTTACAATATTAATGATTTTTAATAAACATTTTATTTTTTAAATTAATTTATATAATAGGTACATAATGAATGCATGTTATCTCCTTTAGAGAAGTCCAACACTTACTTTTTACACTTACTCACTTTACAATTTAATCTTCAGTCTAGTGCTATATCGTGTATGAAGTAACTTCATTAAGTACGAAAGTCACTATGTCTTGAATTATTTTTGTTTTAAATACTTAATCCAAGTGGATACAGTATTTATAAATAAAGCAATTGATTAATACGAAAAAATATAATATACATATAAAGAGCAATTTTGAAACAAAACTACATGAAATAATCTCAAGCATTGTTGATTAGTGTCAACGTGTATTTTACATGCATAATATTTTATTATTCCAATGAATATTTCCGGTGGAAATAAAAATTTTATCTGGATTCATTTCATTCCGGCAACTGTACTACTCAAGATCTTATATACATTTAATCCTACAGTTTTATTGAGTTCGCTGGTTTGCTATGTTATTTACGCATATTTAATAAACTCGATAAATCAGAAAACTTTAATTGCCATGTCAAGCATATCCCAATTTAAAACCAATTAAAAGTCACGCATTGAATCACTGAGCATATAGTTATGAGTTACCTGTACAGCAGGTTTGTCAGTATGATATTTCCGCCGGAGAATTTTCGCAAGTGGTGGGGTGAAGAGCGCGGGGTTGGGATGGAGGTGGCCGTCCCGCTGCCATGGCTGCTGGTGCCGCCAAATTAAGGATACTATGGATCCTATTAACACTACCCATACGAACCCAAACTGCAAATATTCAGAAAGGACGTGATTGAAAATATATACAAAGAGACTGTCTTATAATGTCACTAAATTTAAACGTCCAACTGTGACTACACTAGTGTTTGGGTCCTGGAAAAATTGTCGAATTAAAAAAATATGAAGAAAAGAATTTTCAATTTTTTTCATATTATATTAAATTTTTGTTACCGGCTGTTTTTTTATTTAAATTGATACTTACTGGACTAGTCCACATATAAGATATTCTGTAAAGGTAGAAATAATCATTAGGGTTGGTTGGTTCGGGAGTAGGTCTAATGGTGACATTTTGGGCGCAGCCGCTCGTGCTGAGGTCCAACATAGTGGGCGTTGGCCGCGGACCACCGAAGCTCATCCATAGAGTCATTGCCATACCGCTTATAAGACCGATGCTTGCACCCTGATACAAGAAATTAAACATTATTTTACTCAAAGACAAGTTTGAAACCGAACCTAGGGAGGAGGAGTACGTCGGAGTAAATTTGAAAGACGACGAGCAATATGTGCTCGGGGTCAGTGCACCCATGTTTGTCTACAAAGTAACAACGCTACTATTTTAATTAAGTACCTCCGTGGCCAAACGATTACCATTTTGGACTGCTACGCAGAGGTCAAGGCTTCGATTTCCAGGCCGGGAGAAATAATGTAGGTATAGCCTACATTTATTTCTCTCGTGAGTTTGGGTGTAATTTGTAGTTGTCTATGTGTGTATCCATGACACCCGCAAGACAGGTTCTCCTTACTGCTGGGCTATGATGTGTACGTTAAAGCGAAATTTAATCATTTAATAAAGAATTAATCTCTATTCTATTAACATATATTCTCTGGTAACATCTTAAAATTAATGGATCGAAGGTAACTTACCCAACATATAAGCGTAACCGTACAAAGGAGACACGCTGCTATGATTTTGGTTGAGTAGTCACTTTAAGTAACTCACATCTAAGTAGAATCAAGTAGTAAAACAATAACTATAACTTTAAATAAACACCGTCCTCCGAAGTTTGTGGAATTATATCTATTTGCCAAGTTTTATTGACATCAGTTGACGAAAAGTGAGTGAAATCCAAAAAAACCGGGTTCATCCCTTAATTTACCACCCTTAGAGGCGAAATATTTTCTTCTAATTTAAATAGGCCTACTACTGAGGTACCCCCTCTTGAACAAAAAAAAGAATCGAAATCGGTTCACAATTGACGGAGTAATCTCGTAACATACACACTAAAAAAATACAGTCGAAAAGAGAGCCTCCTCTTTTTTTT